CAACATAAATAATTTAATCTGTGATTGATCACAGGCGAGAGGGATTCACTTTGGATCGGGCACTGTCTCTGCTGTACATAAAATGATATTAAATTAAGAATTCAAATATCTTTTTTTCTTTTAAATATATTGATACTAAGAAAAAAAGTTTACGATTTATACAGAATTCGTAAAAGATTGAAAAAACCGTCGAAAAAAATAGTAATGAAACCGAAAAGCAACGGTGACAATAATTTTGAGATAATAACAAAATCGACAATGAATATGACAACGAAATGTTGATAGAAATTATGACTAAAATGAAGACCTGGTCAATTCATTTAATCGATCTCGATCCCCATTTACTTCTTATCTATTTCGCAAGCAGCAAAACAAGCGAATCATATTTTAAGATTCTCTATAATGGTTTAATTTTTAACTTTACTAAATATAAAGTTGAAATTTTTCTTAGCCGTTAAAATAGTTTTTTTTTAAATCGTAAAATTATTTTAATTATAACCCGATCTTGTCAAACCCAATCTGGCTAATAATTAACGCTTTGTACTTATTATGTATAAATTAAAAAAATATTTTAGCGGGTAAATTTTCCTGCTATAATTCTAAATACACGTGTCAAATCTATTTAAAAAAAATTTTTTAATATTTATATTATAAACTAGTATAGTTCCCACCTATCAATAACATTTTTAATTGTTCCGTTATTTTTAAATGATTCCTCCCTTGCTTCCTTAATTTGTAATGTGTAAGTACTAACGTATCTACAGCAATTTTCAGGACCGCCTATAAAATAATCAGCTTGTATTAACATTAATTTATCAAAGATTCCTTGGATGCCACCACCGCTAAGTTCCTTTTGTAATTGTTTCGTTTTTGTAGGATATAGTGATAATTTAAGATAATCTAACGCGTGTGTTGAAACCCAAGTGTTTATATTAAGTGAAGAATTTAAAATTCTCATGGCTATATGGTGTTCTTCATAAATATGATGAAATGTATCAGACTGTGCTGTATTATGCATATATTCGGCAAGTGGATAATCCGTAGCCAAATAAATATTTGTAATCCCACTTGATAATGAAAAGTTTCTTATATAGGTAACAAGACTTTCAGCGCATTTTGACATAAGATCTAATTGACCTGATTCCATACGCCAATGAATTGCGATATATGGTTTTAATTTGTTTGTAAGGTTTGAAGCTGCATTGGTTATATGACTTGCGTATGGCATCGGTGCAAGTCTATCAAATATCAGACCTCGTATTCCTTCCTGCGTTATCAGCATAACTTCAGCATTACTTTCTAATTCATCTGATAAAAATTGTTTTAGATCACTATTTTTACTACCATGTCTCGGGGATTGGCCATAAGTACCGATGCCTATTCGTTTAAATGTTGTTGAATTATTTAAATTTAAATTAAATTTATCCATGCCATATTTTTTTAAAAGTTTACCAATGTATGGGGTGTCATATTGAATTGTATAATTTGGATTAGAATTATACTTAAAATTTTCAAGCGATACATGTATGGTATCTAATTTATTGGGCCGCTCTTTGGCCCATTTTTGAAATTCATGTTGTAAA